CAGTGTGAATGCACACACTCATTGAAAACAAACGAGCTCTCTAAATGTGTAGCCAATCAATCTGCCCCTCTCCCCACCCCCGCCCTGACCAAGGTACCTCCTCATCAATCAGGTCTTTTTGGATGTGTTTCCTAAGTCAATGACTCGTGAAGACTGTCCCCAGGGTAAACCCTCTCTGGCACAAACGGCAACACCTTGCAATCGCTGCTCTGTGACTTGTGTTGTGAAGTTGGGTGTTATCTGGAAAGTCACATTTCTCAATGTTTCCCTTTCCTTGTCTAGGCTTTACATTTTATTTTAGAAGCTCTTGGGTGCCACTGGGTATTCCATTTGATTTAAAAAGTGAAGGCTTTCATGTTTACTCACAAGAGCATCTAGAAAATCAATGCCTGGTGGGCCAGAGCTGTGCAGGAGAGGAATGTCCTGGTCAGGAAACTGAGCCAGGCACCTCTTCCACCAGGTTTTCCGTGGCCCAGCACACCTCAGACCCTGCTGGCCACAGCTGTCTCTTCACGCTGCCTCTCCTCCGAGTCCCACAATATTGTCCAGGTAAGTGGAAAGAGACGGTGGGGTGGAGGGGGAAGCTCTGAAGTTGTTCGTGTTTTCAGTGTTTGTCAGGGTCAGGATCAGGCTGTGTCAAATGTGAATGGAGATACGTTTGGTATGAAACATGTCTATACTGATTCAGTTCAGTGGAATCCAGAGAAAACTGGTTTTGAAGATTTAGAAAACTGATCAAGCATCAGTTCACAGTCAAAACTTAAATCTTACCTAATCTTCAAAGCCAAGGGAAAAAGACAGAAAAACGTACCAATAAGGGGAGGGTGATTAATTTTTTAATAGACTTTATTTTTTAGAGCAATTTTAGATTTGAAACAATTTGAACAGAAGGTATGTGGTTGCTGTTTGAACATCCAGTGCCTTATTTTCTAGTGTCTGTATGAGTCAGCTTGCTTTCTCCCCTCTGCTCTCAATCACGTGTCCCCTCGGGTGTTGACTTGTTCTCCTGTCCCTTAAGATGGATAAGGGACAAAAAAGATATCTGAGTCCATTTAGCTTTCCTTCTTCTTATAATGAAATCACATCTTACGTAAGTCTACAAAAGTGAGGACATACGGCCAAAATTTTCCTTAGAAATGGCTTAAATGACCTATTATAAAACCCCAGACACACACAGCTGCTGGGGTTTTGTTTGGTTGGTTTTCCCTCCAGTACTGAAATAGATATAGATTTCTTTAACTGACTACTGGATGAAATAGTAGATTTGCATTGCGGAAGCAGGTTAAGGAGGGAGGTGGTCAGGTAAACACTAGACTCTGAGGCAGGAAGATAGCAAGTTCAAGGTCTTCCTAGACCACAGAGCATGTTCAAGGCCAGCCTCGAAAACCTAGCGAGACCCTATATCAGAAATAAAATACAAATAAATGAAGATCTTGGGTTCAGGTCTGGGGTAGAGCACTTGCTTAGCATGCATGCAAGACCCTAGGATCAATCCACAGGACTGGAAAGCAGAACTCATATTCTTTGTGGGGAGACAAGAACCAAGTACATGACTTATGGGGTTCAGTGCAAAATGAAAACGCAGGAACCCCTTGTTCAGGAAGTGTTAGGAATGTCAAGATTGCTGCAATGGGACATTAAACCAAGTGAGTGGTGATGGCGGGCTTTAGTCTTCAAGAATAGATTCTTGCGCAAATGCATAGGTAGCAACCCCAGGAAATTGAGAAAAACGAGAAGCTTGGAAGGCAGTTCAACCTCAGAAGAGAAGCCTCACAACACCTGCAGAGGAAAACGGGGCTGAATCACTGACAGGGTTCTGTCGCTCTTTGGGGTTTCTACCCCTTCTCCAAATTCCGCCCCAACCAGCTGTGAGTGTGTTACAGTTGAATTGGGGATCCACACACCAACTCCATCAGCAAACTGGTTGAGAGAGTAACAGGTCTCTATTACAATGATGATTTTTTGATTTTCTGATTTTTCCCCCCAAGAATTCATTGTAACTTAGAACTCAGATTTCAGAGGTTCAGGACTTAGTTAGTTGTTTGTTCATGGCTTCTTGCCCCTAGCAGTATTAGAAAAAAAAAAAACCACACAACTCACAAAGAGGACCCCACCACTACCACCAAAAAGTGGGTGGGGACTAAAAACTTTTCAGAGGTGTAAAAAAAGGAAGTATGGGCATTCAAGCAACAATCTTGATCTGCTTTTAGTTGAGGTTTTTGTTTGTTTTTCCAAGGATAAAATGTGTAATCTCTAAAACAAATTGTACTTTGGGGAAAAACAAAGTTATTACCATGAGTCTTCCTAATGGTTCAAAGCAGGTAATTTACAAATATGAGGTTCAAAGCTGGGTGTAATGGTACATGCTTGTAAACACAGCACTCCAGCAGAAAAACCAGAAGTTTGTGGCCAGCCCAGAATACATAGCAAGGCCCTGTCTCAAATAGACAAATACAAACCCCACATTAGGTGCAATTATAAGATTTCTTCAAATAAAGTTTTAATTATTTTACTTGCTAAAATGGTTTCCTTCTCAGATATTTGCTCCAAGAAAGTCATGAACATAACCTCAGCAGCAAGGACGTTATGGTTTGATCTGTGATACAAAGCTTTTTGGGGGAGGGCGGTGTGTGTGTGTGTGTGTGTGTGTATGTGTGTGTGTGTGTGTGTGTGTGTGTGTGTGTGTGTGTGTGTGAGAGAGAGAGAGAGAGAGAGAGAGAGAGAGAGAGAGAGAGAGAGAGAGAGAGAGAAACTGCCTTCTATTTAACAGCACAACCCAGGCAAGACAGCAACCGGTCAGAAATTCTCCAACAGGCTTAAGAATAACAAGTTATTTAAATTAAAGCAACAGAAAATTTGTTTCCTGTATCTTTTCTCTTTCTGGCTTGGCTCCTGATGTTAGTACCCTACTCTATTTCACTTCAAGATTCTCACCCCACAACAGGCTGAAAATTGACTCACCCGCTTTGACGAAAACTTGCTCCCTTGTGTCTGTGAGAGTTACATGTTTGAGCTTTAAAAGAAGTGTCAAAGTCAGTTGGTCACCCAGGTAGACGGGACAGCTGTGCTGACTCATGCTCACCTGTCCTTAGTTAATGGCATAGCACGACACTGAGCACATTAATACAAAGCTTGCAAAGCACACACTGTTTCCACATGTCATTGTCACACGCTTACCAGGAATTGAGATATTTTTGGTTAATCTTTTTATTGTGGTGTTTTTAGGGCACTTGTGTGGTGGTGGTTATTTGGCAAGTCTTGAGACTAGAGGCTGCCATCTGCTTATTCCAACAAGTGATATAAATAACAGTGGGTCCATAGGAAAGAACCTGGGTACCAACAGCATTTTCTCTTCAATCTCCTGATCAGTATCAGGTTGTATATTTTATTACTTTTCAGATTTTTTTATTTATGTGTATGTCTCTGCATGTTCAAGAGTGTACAGTGTACGTGTGCATATGTGTGTATGTGCATGTATGTGTGTGTGCAGGTGCTTGAGGAGTCCAGGAGAGATCATTGCATCCCTCAGAGTTAGAGTTACAAGTGTTTGTGAGCCACCCAATGTGGATGCTGAGATCCATACTACCTGCGGGCCTCTGGATAGAGCAGCCAGGGCTCTCACCTGCCGTGGCTCCAGCTTTAGGTTGTGTGTTTTAGGAGAGTGACAGGTACATATTTATACAAATTACTAGGTAGGTTTGTTCAGAATGACTTGCCAACTAGTTTTAGTAGCTACTACTGGGTAACCCTGTGTAGACTGCTGTAGATTCCTCCATTCTCACAGCACCTCAGGGAAACAGAAATATTGCTGCCTCACTGAACAAGAGCTCCAGGGTAGGTAAATGTTAGGCACTGGTTTTGAACCTGTGACCAGCCCACGCTGTACAACTGTCTTTCTATCTTGTTTTAAAATATTGCCTGCTTTTGTTTTTCTTCTCTCTAGAATGATGGTGGCCAATTTGCCTCCACAATTTAGATATGATTTCAGTCCTAAACAGAAATATTTCAGCTTACATAAAATTTATTTATTTATTTATATGAATACCGATTTATTTATTTTTATGAATACCACAAGTAATGCCGAGCTGCACCTAGTAGAATAGTGGTTTCTCTGTGCTGAGGAGAAGACCGTTTCTTTACATCCAAAAGCAAACTCACAAGAAGTTATGCTTAGTAAGCCTGACCACACAGAGCCCCTCCCAACACGTATTTACATTAACCCAGGTCGAAATTTCTCCCCAAGATAAGCGCTGCCAAAAAGCCCTTACTTAGAAGTACAACACCTTATCTTTGCATGCATGCATGCGAAGCCTTGGCGAACTTGGGTAGGTGTGGCTTCTAGAAGCCAATCACTTGATTCAAGGGGCAAATCAGGACCCGTGTTTACGAGAAAATGTAGACACCTGTGGATGACGCGATTGGTCGCTGATGTGCGTGGGACAGCCAGTTTGGAATGCTGTTGGCTTCCTCGACCCCGTGTGTGTGGACAGTGTGAAGTTGGGCATCCAGCTTTCACAGCATAGAGCGAGTGGGCACTACAAGTTTGTCCGCTCCGTTGGAGCTAGCCAGCATCTAGCCAACTGGCAAACTAAAAGAAACAGGATTTGGGGGCTCCACCTGCTCCCCGGCCGGGCCCTTAGACAGTGGCCCCGCCCCTAGACATTAGGCCCCGCCCCCAACGCTTTAGGCCCCAGCACGGCCGGGACACTCGCGGCCATAGGCTGCCCCAGTTCCGTGTACACTCCTCGCCCCGCCCCCGGCAGGCTCGGACCGTACCACCTGTGAGCACGGGGGAGTAGGTCTTCCTTTGACCAAACGGCTTTCAATCCGAGCCGTCCCCGGCCTTCGCGATGCAAGCCTGAGGAAGTTCAGTTTCTGTAGACACACTCTGAGGGTTCAGCGATCTCAGCTCTGACTGGATCCTCTGGATCCCCGAGCCGCGGCGCCCTCGTCCCCCCTCCAGTCCCTTCACGGATGGTCTGGCCCAGGGAGTACCTCGGGACCCTTTAAATACCGCGTGGGGCTGCAGGAAGGCTCCAGAGTTGACAGGCCGGTCAGTGCCCCCGTGTGTGCGGTGCTGGGTGAGGGGATACGCAGAGCCCCGCGACCCCGGTCACCCAGCCTTCCTCAAGCCTCTGCGCGGGATCCAGGGGTGCGTACCCATCCCAGGGGAGGGGCCGTGGGATCTGAGGGGACCGCCTCTCCTCAGGGCGGCGAGAGGACTCCTTGTGCCATCCCAGGTCGGGGCATTGGACCCCCGGGGGCGCGGTGGCGGTGGCGCCCAGGCGGGGCCGGGGCGCTGGGCCGCGATGACATCCCTTTGGGTGCGTGCCAGCGACTGCGCTCCGGGCGCGAGGCGCTCCGGGCTCCCAGTGCGGCGGTGCCCGCTCTCCCGGCCCTGGAGAGTTGGGCTGAGCCGTGGTGGGGCCGGGCCGGGCCGGGCCGCGGCCTGTGTTTGCCGCTTGTTGCCGGGTTTCTCGGGCGCTGGGCTCTGTCCCGGCAGTCCCCTCCCCCAAGCGTTTGTTTTGACAGGAAACGTGGTGCTGCTGGAGGGAGGGGCGAGCGGGGAACGTGGGCGAGCGGGCGGGACTCCGGGGACTTCCGTTGGACTTGACTTGACGGTCCAGGAGGCCAGCTCAGGTCACATCTGGGTCAGACCCTTGCCTTCTCAAGGATGACTGTGTGCTCAGGGTGGCACCACAACACATAGCAGCGAGATTTGGTGGCACGTGGATGACACAGTTACGTGTGTTTACGTTAGTAAGGGAGGAAAAACTTCCATTAAAACGAGCGATTTCGCAACGACGTGACGCTTCCTTTAAAAATGACTGGGAATGTAGTTTTATGGGAAAGCACTTTCTTGGCATGTACAGGACTGTGGGTTCTGTCCACCCCCGACCACATGAAGCCCAGATCATGTGTTTTAATGCAAAAATCTAGTCAACAAAGAAGTGTCTGTTAAACTACGATACAAGCAGAGGAGAGGAAACACTTAACAGTGGTTCCCCGTGACTGAAGTGAAGTATACTCTCTCATCGTTGTCTTGGTACCTTAATGTGAAGAAACCAGACAACTTGCCCTTGTCCCTAGAGAGCCCCTCAGCACTCAGGGTGTCCAGCTCAGAGGTCTTGGTTTTCCTATGCCAACTGATAATGAGGTTCTTAGGCTGGTCCCTGAGCTAGGAGGCTCCCTGCCTACCCGCCTTTTCTTCCTGTCTCCTTGGATTTCATACATTGCCCCCACTTGAGGTGGCCCAAGGCTGAAGACCCAGTCATGTGTACAGGCAGCTAGCATGAGGCCCCCGGAGTGTGTTTAACTAGGCAGCCGGGATGGGCAGAGTGCTTTCCAGGATGAAGAGTGCCTAGAAACCTTCCCTGGTGCTGTAATGACACGTGACTCGTGGATCATGGGCACTGCCTTGTAGACAGTGGCCGGCTTGTTGGCTTTTGTCTAGCTCTCTGTAGGCTCGGATTTGATGAGGACCAGTATTGTTGCAGGGACTTTCCCTCAGTCCTATGGTTTTTCTTTGCTCTGGGCCGGTGCTGAAGCGCCATTTGGTAGAAGATGGAAATTTTCTAGCACCTGCAATTTTTTTTCATCAGAGCTCAGTGTTGTGTCCCACCCTCTCCCCGTGTCCTGTTGCAGGCCAGCTCCCACCATTATTTTCACTAGGGCCTCTTGAGGAATGAGGGATAAGAGACTTAGTTAGAAAGAGAGGGGAGAGAAACAGAGAAAACACAGGATAGACTCGGGTGGGCCTGAATCCTTATCCACCGGCCCTGAACTTTATTCCAAAAGTCTATTATAACAATGCCAAGGGGTGGAGCAAAAGACCTCCCCCTTGCTAGTTACCATCAAGTGCAGACCCTTAGAAACACCTGATACTCAGGCCCGTGGTCCGGTCAACCTTTTTTTTTTTTTTTTTTTTTTTTTGGTTTTTCGAGACAGGGTTTCTCTGTGTAGCTTTGCGCCTTTCCTGGATCGTGCTCTGTAGACTAGGCTGGCCTTAAACTCACAAAGATCTGCCTGCCTCTGCCTCCCACGTGCTGGGATTAAAGTCGTGTGCCACCACCGCTGGCCCGATCAACCTTTTATGCAGTCCTGCTGGGTACAGCCACTAGGAAACGTAGTGGGCTCCAACACTGTCCCGTGGATGCCTTGTGCCTGACTTCAGTATGGTCTTGAAGGAGGGTAGCTACTAAATGTCTCTTGACATCTCTTTTTTCCACAACCTAGCCTTAACTGCATGGATTTCATTCTTCAGGGCCCCGTTGGATAACCTGAACAGTTTCCTTCAAAATGTTTATGACTTGGCTAGCTGTAAGCAGTTAACCCTTTGGGTAGTGCCTGGGTTTTAACAAGGATTTTGCAGGACATAAGGAATGGCACTCTAGTAGAGGGCTTTCGTCACTATAGTGGGGTGGTTGAATGTTACTGTGCTGAATGATCTCTTTCAGTGATGTCCTTCACGGTATAGAGCTTGAACAGCTGTCCCAGGATAAGGTCATCTTGCTTCCACATGTGCAAGTGTCCATGTGATGATAGACAGATCAATTTGGCAGAGAGGGAATGGAAAGAATGAGCAGCACACTGATTTCCTCCAGTCGCCCTGGAGCAGTAGAATGTGTGGGCTTCAGGGCTCCAGCCTGCTGTGGCTTGAGCTGAGCCTCTGCTCTGCTGTAAACCTTTGGGGGAGTAATTCTGTCTCTCTGACCCATAAGTTCTTATTTTAAACAAGAGTAACACCTACATAACACAGTTATGATGCAGATTTGAGGAAATCAATTCTTTTAAGCACCCACAGAGTATTATTGAGATCATGCTAAACGTCCATAACTGTTGGTTGTAACTTACTCTTTAGTATTGGTGAGGGTCCGAAGAGGATAGTGCTACAATGTGCATGTTCTTTAGGCTCCTGGGACTTTGAGGCTTCACTAGCCTTTGAATTGTGTGGAGATAGGAACTGGAGACTGGAAAAGGAAATGCTTCCTTTTCTACATCCATTTTAAAAGTTACTGGGAAGGCAGAAATGCAGACTGTTAAACTAACTACATTAAGTGACTTCTTGATGAGCAATGTGATCCAGGCAGGACAGATTGAAAACTCCAGTCGTTTTATAAGTAAAAAAACAAACGGCTTTATGGGGCCAAATTTGTTCATATGAGGATATTCACTTGGCTAGCAGTGTTCTTACTGCTTCGGGGACATGTATGTCAGTGCTAGTGTCTTTTTATAATCCTGCACCAGTACAGGTTATTTATAGAAATAGTTTTCTGTAGAAAGGAAATAAGGACATAAAGTCAAATATAAACTGAAGAATCACAAATTAATAACTGATTCTTAATTCTTAATTGTTATTAATAACAAATTAATAACCCTATTCTCTGTGGTGAGACACATGGCTGGCTCCTTTAGGTTCCTGTATCTATTTCTTTGTCTCTAAAATATTAGCAGTAAACTGTCATTACTCATCAATGTATTTAATTCAGCAATAAATCTTTACCTGCTGACTGGTCCTGAGAAGGAGTGGCATGATGCTGAATGTTAGAGAAGACTGGAATGATACATAAAATCTGCAGTTTCTTCAAATAGTAACCCGTTGTAATAATGTTGGAAACTTTGCTTGGAGGTATCGTCTGTCTTTACCTTTGGCCAGTGAGTCCTCAGGTTGGTGTTCCTGCCGGATTGCTTGATTTAACTGGGAGTAGCTTTGGTGGCTGGCGAGGTGGATCTAAATTTGTCAGTAGGAAAAGCAGTGTGCTTCTTTGAAACAAATGGCTCTATTGTCACCAGCCTAAGAATCTGAAATAGTTGAAGCAGTCTAGTTACCCTCAATGTCTTCTCGGTCGAGTTGATTGTCCCAGAGGACCCATGTGGAAACTCAAGATGGAGGAAGGGAAGGATTGGTGTGAGGGCGCCTGCAGAGATCTCTTTTACTGGGACAGGCCATTTGATAGTTTCATATTTCAGAAAAGCATGTAGTTCTGTCCTAGGGTCACTGCCAGACTTGTTTTTCTGTAGGGGAAACATGATTTTGTTCTCCTGTCTTAATAGCCAAGGTGATTTGACAGACCCGTGTCCTGTTGTCTGTCCGACACTGTCCCGGCACCCTCTCCTTAGTCACCAGGTGAAGTTGCACTCCAGCTCCACACGTTAGGCATTTGGGATCTACCTACATACAAAATAGACAACTCTTAACAAAGTGGTGAGCGCCTTGCTTCAAAGACAAGCTTCTGCTTGCTTCTGCTTGGATACAGTAAGTCCCGGTTGTAACACGGATGCTTCTGCCCACTAAAGAGCTTCTAAACAGTGTGATACTTTTCAATCTTCCGTTATAGTTGAGTGCCTCAGATTCTACCTCCAGTGACAGGTTGACACAAAACTTCGTTGCATACAATTAAACATGCTTGCTGTATGTTTGCTTTCTTTAAAACATCTCATGCTGTTTCATGGAACTCTGGTTTTGAGGAGCATCTTATCAATTTCTGACTGAAAGAATCTGGAATTAGCCCACCTCATGGCCCCCTGCCCCCGAGAAAACAGCTGTGCATGAAGTCACACAGTAAGCTGGTGACAGACTGGGCTCTAGCTCTTAACCTTGTGCTTCTTACTTTTTAAGTCTTGTACCTGACTTCCTTGTTCAAGTAATTATAACACCTACCGAATGTGCTGTCCAGCTGGAATATAAAATGAACCGGTTCATAAATTCCCACAGATGAAAGCTTTTATTCATTTTTACTGAAATACCCTGTTGGTGTAAGGCCACTATAGTAGAGAAAGCAGGAGCCAGCCCAGGCATGACAAGACCTGGGATTTGGATTCAGTAAAGAAGCTGGGATAGATAGTAGTGTCTCTGCTCTAGGGCTGCACTTGGCAGCAGCAGGCATGTGAATGTGTAGGGCTGTCCGTTTGCAGATGCTCTCCTTGAATCTGTTCCAAATAGGATCCGGTGACTGTGATGTAGCTGACCCTGAATACTTGTCGTGAACTTGTTGCTGGATGAGGCACTGTGTCTCCCTTACCAAGGAGACTCAAAACCAGTCACTGCAGGAAGATAGCTGCACATGCTTTGGGGGGTGAGCATGTTGAAAGCCTGCTCTGTTCCCCACCCAGTTCCTTAAGACAGGGTCTCCCACTGCACTTGGAGCTAGGTGGAGGCCAGCAAGCCCCAGAAGTCCTGCTATCCCTCCCTGTAGTCGTGGGATTACAGGTTTTTAGTATGGGCTTTGGAGACTTGAATTCAGTTCCTCATGCCTGGTACACAGATGTCTGTATTCACTGGCCCATCATCAAGTCCTTTTGTGGAGAGGAAGGAGACGAGCTACAGAGCTGCTGAGCAGAGTGCCATGTGGTGGAGGACAGAGGGAGGCTTCCTGGGAATGAAGCATTTTCAAGTAGTGCCAGCAATGGGAAGTGAACTGTTGGCAGGGAGTGACAGCAGCTCATTCTCTCCTGTCCCTCCCTGCCTCCCCCCAGGACACTGTAGTAAACGCTCAGGTAAAAACCAGTTTTCACGGGACAGAAGAACTTGCCACTGAAGAGCCAAGAGTTCGGGACTATTTTATAGCCTATGTCTATGGTAGTCAGCTTTGGGATTCTAAGATAGGGTGAATGCTTCCAAGTGGCAATTCCCTACTACTCAGGGCCTTTCTATCTGCAGAAGCAATTCACAATTCTCTGGCTGCTCAAGTTTTGACCTGAGCCAATGTGCATCTCTGTGAGTGTCAAGACTGAAGAAAGTTTTGGTTGAGACCAGGTGGAAATGCCCTTTGGCCTTTTTCCCTTTTCATGACCCCCGCCCCCATTCCCAGGCTCATCCTTGTTCCTGTCAGCACCCAAGAGATGCAGTTTGCCCTATATCTCACAGTGACGTCTGGATATCTCCTCTGTACCCTTTAGTCCTGAACCTCCCCCCTTTTTTCTTGTGCTTCTCAGCAATGCCTTGTTTCCATATGGCACACACAGCTTTATGTAACCAAACTTGAGAATAGGACAATGTCTATTTTGTTCACTTACTTTTCCCAGTGCCTGGTGCACAGTAGGTACTCTGTAAATATGAACAGATAGATTCATTTAAGAAATTGTAGAGGCATTCCCAGTCATATTATACATTGTTAATGGCTTCTCCTTTTTTTTTTTTTTTTTTTGCATTTGTGAAAAGTCTCCCATCCCTCACTGAAGTGAACTCTATCTTTGTTGCCTATCCAGGTTGGAAGTGCCTTCTCCCTTGGGCAAAATTTCCCTTTTGGTGTCAACGATACTATGTTCCTATCAAGGCTGATTTCCTCATAGCCCTGGCTGGTGTTATGGGTCCAGGGCTGGCATTCATATGCCATAGTCTTTCTCGATTGTGCTAGGCCTGTCCCCTTCCTTGGGATGCTCTGTGATGTCCCAGAGAAAGCACTTGACTTACCGTCTAGGGGCTGGTTCCATGGTGGAGTAAATCTTGTCCCTCTGAGTCTGTTTATGTTCCTAGGTGTTCGGTAAGTTGTGCTAGCTGCTTTGTGAATTGTTAGGTACAAACCAAACAAACGGGTCTTGGTCTTCATGCTGGGACAGTTCATATGGAAATGGAGAGACCTTGTAGCCCAGGAAGTCTCTTCAGTCTTTCATTCCCTTGAGAGACTCACAGAGGTACCAAGAGTGTGTTGAGCATCCTTATTTTCTTTTTAAGTTTCATTCTTTACATTTATCCTGTGTATGTGTATAGGTACATTCATGCTCACAGCACTTGTGGAGGTCAGAGGACAGTTTGTGGGATTGGTTATCTCCTTCTATCATGTGGATTGCAGGGACTGAACTCAGGTCATTGGGCTTGGCAGCAAGTGCCCTCACCCAAGCCATCTCATCAGCTAAACCTAATTTATTTAAAACAAAGCAGTAAGAACAGTAACTATATTTGCGTGCTGTGTGAAGAAGCCCCGTGATGCAATTAATCCTCTTCAGTCTTGACCAAGGCCTGGAAGGTCAGTCTTTGAGCCTTGCTTTCCCACAGAGTCAGGTGGTTAAGTGACTTCCCCAGAACAGAACAAGGAGTCTGCCCAGGAGCCCACAGAGCCTTACCACGCCAACCCAGGAGAGAGCAGCTGCGCTCTGTGTGCATTTTAAAAGGATTTGTCATCACTTAGAGCTGCTCCACATTTGCACTGGATATGGAAGGAAGTCTTGATGATCTTGCAATAGTCTTGGTCAGGGTGCTGAGGGAAGGGGGAAGTAATTTCTTGGGGACTTTTGTTCCCCCTATACTGTCACACCTGTGGGCATTATATTATCCATGTTGGAAAAAGCATGTTGGAAACCATGTTGATTCAGGGTTTCTCTGTCTGGGCAGGTTCTCTCTGTCTCTGTCTCTCTCACGCCCCCCCCATCTCTCCCCCTCCACTCTCTCTTTCTCTCTCTCTCTTCCTCCCTCCCTCCCTCCCTCCCTCCCCTCTTCCCTCCCTCCCCTCTTCCCTCTTTCTCTCTCTCCATACCCAAGGTGAAACAAGATGCCTTTGAATGATGAGAAGCAGTGTGTGAACGAGGACCAGCAGAGTGATTCAGAGTCTTCTCGGTTCTCCGAAAGCATGGCTTCGCTCAGTGACTATGACTGTTCCAGACAGAGCTTCACCAGCGATTTCTCCAGCAAATCCAGCTCTCCTGCCTGTGAGCAACAGGGAGCAAGGCAGGGGGCGGCAGGGGTGCTGGCAATGCATGATGGTTTTGAAAACTCAGAAGTGTTGTGAGCAGATCTTCCCCCTCCTTTCTAGAGCCACCAGAATAGCATGTCAAAGGCACTGTAGCAGTCTGCGTGTGTTCTTAGGAATAAGCCTGTAGCCTGCTCATTTTATGTTGAGCCTTGTCTCTAACCTGTTTGGTTTGAGCATGAAGCTAAATCCCCATCCCCAGCCCTGTCTGTTTTGCCTCCCAAATGGTGGCAATACCCCTTCTTGAGATTATCTTGTGCAGATTATGATAAAGCCAAATTAGTCTTTTCTGTTTCACATTGAAGGAAATTTGCCTTTCCGGAAGGGTGGACAGGAAGTGAAATAATCTAAAGAGAGTTTCCCTGCTGATTTTAAACACTGTTGTGCAAATCCCCTCAGATCAACCCACAGGGAGAATTACTACACTGTGGGTTGTGAGAGAGCCAGAAGAAAGGCTGTCACTGGGGAGACAAACACCCCCCCACCCCCACCCCCACCCCCACCCCCACCCCCACCCCCAGTCTGTGGAAACAGGACGTGTGTCAAGCAGGCTCTTTTTTTCCTTCCCCTTCCTTCCACAAGATTTCACTCTGTAGCCCAGGCTGGCTTTGAACCTGTGGCACTTTCCTCCTCAGCATCCCCCCCCCCCACCACCAGGACTACAGATACAGATATGAACTACTTGACTTTGCCTTTTGTTTTTTAAGTTTTGAATTAGCATTTTGTCTACAAAGTAGAGAACATCTAAAACTAGCAAAGCTAAGGTAGGAAAAAGCAACTGATGTTCAATATGATTAGATGCCCACTTCAAAACAATTAGTTTTATTTATTTCAATTTTTACATTTCTAGCTTTAAAACTTGGAAAATCTATAGTATAGAGAAAAGAAGAGATTGCCTGCAGTATAACCTAAACATGATAGACAGCTGCCAGCGCTTTGCCAGACCATCATCCTTCACACTGATGTGGACTCTTGCCCTTAGTATTGTAACCCAAACACATACATACTCATGATAAACACTGTCCTCATGACCACCTACTATGTCATAGAGTAATAGACATTTATATGTGTTTATTGATTTGCCATTGGACAGTCATTTTCTACCTTGTGTTGCTCTTTTATAAATGGGGTTTTATGAGCATCCTGATGCACTGAGACTTTCTGGATATCACTGGATGATTGGATCAAAGACTACAGAAGTTTTTAAGGAGAATCTTGAGGTAGAGAATCCACAGCAGCCATGCACTTCTGCATCTTTTCTCATTCTTGACACCACGTCCAGAGTCTCTACATCTTATATCATGGTACCCAGCCATTCTGAAGAAGGATTTTGCCAGTTCCCAGGCAACATCTTTCTCATCTTCCTCCACTTAAGCTCTTCCTCTCCCTTCCTCCCCTAAAACAAACAATTGCAACAAACGGAAAGTATTGCCTATCTGTGCCTTTATTTGAGGTCATGACTTTTAATTAACTGAAGCTGAGATTTTTTTTTCCAACAGTGATTTTGTAAACTTGATTTATTTGAACAATTTCTTAGTATAATATCTAGAAATAACTCTAATTCTTTACTATTTTCCTATTGAGTAGATAATCTACCCTCTCAAATGTATTTTGTTGTGATTTAATTATGTATTGAGTTCCTCCTATGCTCTTACTTAAATTGCTCAACAGTGGTGGTGCACACCTTTAATCCCAACACTCAGGAGGCAGAGGCAGGTGAAACTCTGACTTCAAGACCAGCCTGTGGTCTACAGAGCGAGATCCAGGATGGCCAGGGCTACACAGAGAAACCCTGTCATGAAAAAACTAAAAAGAAAAAAATTGTCTTAATTAATTGTCTCAGAGAGAGCCTGTTAAGAGGCTAATGTATGTGTCAGTGAAGTCAAATGAACTAACAAATGGCAGAAATGGGAATGAACTTCAGCCTTACACTAAACTGTATATACAGTAAGGAAGTACACAGCCTCCTCTGTCAATCTACTGTTAGTACATGTAAACACATATATCAATAAACATGGAAAAGAAACTGGTTTAAGTTTTTAAAAGTTATAATAGGCCTATATTAGGGAGTTTGTCTCAGGAACATTTGAAAATTCATTATAAATATGGAAACTAAAGCTGCAGAGGGAGTGCTTCCATATTTGAAATCTTTGCCAAGCCCACCTTTCTTTAGTGTATGTTCTCTGACTTGTCGAACTGTCATATTTACCTGAAAAAGAGCCTGCCTGGCACTGGGGACATTGGATGTCATCTTCTCTCCTACCGCATTAGCTGACTTTGCTTTCCTTTCAGCAACAAGCCCTCCTGGGGGTGTGACATTCGATGACGTGATGGCTGCTGCGAAGAACTTATCAGACATGACTCTTGCTCATGAAATAGCTGTGAATGAGAACTTCCAGTTGAAGCAAAACGCCCTCCCAGAGAACAGGTAACCTGGAATCCTGTGTGTATGTGAAGGATGCTAAAGATTGTGTGTGTGTGTGTGTGTGTGTGTGTGATTAAATGTAGCGAAGAGTTCAGTGGGAATGCATTGATTCTTGTGAGTGCTTCCTGGGAAGTCTCCTATTTCAGCAGTTTATTCCTGGCTGGCTTTAAATGGGACATCTGAGTAGAATATGGCAGCCATTCAAAGGTATGTCTCCTTGGGACCAATCTGTCCCTTCCATGCAAGTTCAGCTATTGAAGAAAGGGCAATGCTGTTGATATCTTACCCCTAAAATACAGAGCTGTATAGAAGACTATCTACTAAGTCATGATACGCCTTCTTAGGACAGAATTTTTTGAAGTTATTAAAAGATATGCTAAGGAAACATTTTAGAGTTTAGGGGAAAACATGAATCTATAAATGAAAAAAATGTATTATATTGTGCATATTGGTATTTTTTTAATATTTATTTTTATTTGTGTGCATGTGTCTATCTGTTTGACTATGTGTGTGCATGGAGGCCACAAGAGGACTTTTGATTCCTCCAAATCCCCAGGTATTTGTAGGACACCTGGTTTGTTAAGAGGGTTCTGAGATCTGACTGCCTGTCCTTGTGATTCCACAAGTCTTACCCACTAAGACATCTCTCCAGCTCAGTGTTTTTATTGTTTGAAAACATTGTTCATGCTCTGAACAAGGGAAATATGCTAAGAGATTAATCATGGGCTTAAGGGTAAGATATGTTCTGGGTTTTTTAAATGTATTTTCTAAGTAATCTATAGGGAACATGTATCTTTCAATGCTCATTTTAAATAGTCCATTTTTTTTCCCTGTAGCCTTGCTGGTCAAGTGAAGCGTGTTGTTCACCAGGCCTTCTGGGATGTCTTGGAAGCAGATCTCAGTGCTGAGCCCCCCCAATATGAATATGCCATCAGACTGTTTGAAGAAATCAGAGAGGCAAGTTGATGTTGTTCCATTAGTGCCTTAATCCCCTGGGGTCTGTGTGATGGATACCATAGATATCCATCTATGCCGGTAGAAGTTCCTCACAGTCTTAGAGACTGAGAAGTTTAAGACCAAGACAACAGCACATTTGCTGCCTGGTGAAGGCCTATTTAGAATCCTTTCTTTATCCTCACATGACGGGGGGTAGGGTGGGGAGGCCCGCAAAGGCGCCCTCTTGGGTCCCTTTCATAAAGGCATTAATCCCATTTCTGATGAATCTACTCTCATGACCTAATTACCTGTCAGAATTGGCTTTCAACATATGAACAGGAATGGGTGTGTGTATGCAATACATTGAAGGAGTTGGTTTCCTCTCCGAAGACTGTTTGGTATCTTTGTATCATCTCTCACTTTAAAAGACTGTCAGATACCAGTAGATTCTTCTGTGAACCTCCTAGCAGTGGGTGGAATCTAGGGAGACAGCAGCAGACAGAGCTCAGGGTAGAGCTTTGAGCACAAAACAAGACCTTGGAGTTAGACCTGGCCTCGGAATAGGCTCACCCTCTAAAAATGTCAGCTTTTTGAGTGTCACAGGGTAGTTACAGGAACTCAATGAGAAGATGGCAGTTCTTTTCAGTGACATTGACAAGATGCTTGCTCTTTACCATGCACTGTTGTAGTATTTTATGTGCACAGTTCTCTAACTCACCAGGTCACAAAGCTTTGAGGTCAGAGGGATCTGAATTGAGACAGTCAGGCTCAGGGCTTGTTCCCCAGCCCTGACGATGTACATGAGTTGGGAGCCCACCACGTGATGAGTACTCAGTTAACCACTGGGTTGGGTAGTATTTGTGTGCAGCGTATTCCTCAAGGACTTCACAGGGCTTTTTCGTCTACTCTTGAGTGTTTTTGGAGCCATGGTGTGCAAGCCGTTCCTTCTTCCTCGCAGAAGACTTTGGAAGTATTCAGGTTCTACGTCCTTGTCAGTTGTTTTCTTCTGAAATGTCAGTCAGTCACCACAGTGGTGGCTTTTGATCAGCAGATGGAGCTTTCTTCTCAAGGTGGAGACACTGAGTGTTTCTGATACAGTACTTCCTAGGCAACATGGGGACACTTGGGTGTGATGGGGAGCACCTCCTGTAACCATGCTGCCGACTCTTCCTCCCCCGTGCAGATTCTCCTCTCTTTTCTCACTCCTGGTGGGAACAGACTTCATAATCAGATCTGTGAAGTTTTGGACATTGACCTCATTAGACAGCAGGCCGAGCACAGTGCTGTTGACATTCAAGGTCTGGCCAACTATGTCATCAACACGATGGGAAAGATGTGTGCTCCTGTGAGAGATGAAGACATCAGAGAGCTGAAGGCCACTACCAACATCGTGGAGATGCTGAGGTTAGCCCTTTTGCTGCATCCATTTTCTTACAGTGTCTTCACGTTCATTCATAGACCTGGGAGCATGAGGAGTGTAGATAACTGGCCTTCCAGAGGAGTTTGTGACACAGAGAAAAACAAGAAAGCAGGGATCCAGTCAGTCCTTGACAGAGTGTGTAGAATTTTCTAGCAAGGTTGTTAGTCTGCCTTCAGTGGACCCTGAGGATACAGTAATAAAAACTGAATTCCTGGCCCCAGGGGTTTAGAGGGAGAGACAGACTTTTAACAATGCACTGTGCTAATTAAACAGTTGTTATTGGCACTAGCGAAGGAGGCTTATAGGGTTGTAGAACTCCAGCAAGTGGATTCTAATGTAGTCAGGGTTGGAGGAAGCCATCTGCATTGGGAAGAGTCATTAGCTGCTCTTGAATTCTCAGTGATTTTGTCAATAAAAAAATTGTTTTGTACTAGTGTCTGACTCTGGGAGTATTAGTCAGCGGCTCTCCACTTCCCTTTTGGGAAGCCAGGCTCCCCTGTTCTTGGTTGTCCCTCACCTAGCTGGTGATATTGCCTCCATTCAGCTACAAGAGGAAAGAGACTGAGACAGTGTGCAAACGCAGCACCAGAGGGGCAGACACCCTTGACTGTGTCTAGCCGCGGTCTCACCAGACTGAAGCGGGGCTGCGGAAGGGAGTTCCTCCTAGGACGGGAGGTTCACATTGATGTGTGAGCATCTTGTTTATCTCTGGTGGCAATCACTTCCTCCTAATCCCAGAGGACATACTGTGAACCACTTATGTTTTATGAATACAAGTCATACTGAGAACCAAGTTTCATGTTACAGTTTTAGAAAACGAGGAGATGGAAACTGGTCTATATATAGAATATAGAAAGTAATTTCATTTGTAGCCTGTGGTAAATTGACAGTTTGTCAAGGTGATGCTTCACCTGTCTGTAAAATTGGCTTTATATGTCTTTAGAAATGTCCTGAGTTCTGGAAGATTACAGAAGCTCTTCTTCTAGCCACCAATATTACTGGCATATGATCTCTAGTGTTTATCTTGGTCATGGGTACCTACTGGATGCCACTTTTTTTTTTTTTATCCACTGTGTTCAGTTAGAGTTGCTTGTATAAACATGGGTGGAGGCTGTTTGCTGGAGCATGTGTAACTCATGAGTGGTGATAGCCACTGAGGAAAATGTCACCCCCTTTCCCAGCAACCATTAACTGCTAGTCGCCCTTAGGCAGGGGTGGAACTTCATGGCTACCTCCTCTATCCATGATAGAGTATTGAAAGGTCCAGTCTTGTGCCCTTCACCCACTGTAAAAAGGGACATCTCTGTCTGAGGTTGAGAGTAGCACTGATCTATGAGTATAAACATAAATACTTAGGAGGAAGATTGACAATGTGTATTTAGCCAAACAACAATGGTAGGTTCCCTCTATGGCCTATGGCCTCCTAAGTCATAGGATGTTGATTTAGCTTACAGTATCAGGTATGTATTCTTTTCTGTGACGTAGGCCTTAAATGCAGTCAGAATGTAGTTGGTTACCCCACAAATAGCCATGCCACTGTTGCCCAGAAGTCCGTATTGTAACCCACAGGGTTCACAGCTAGATAAAACCATTGATGGATTATCCACACCCCCAGCAGCCTGGATAGCACTTTCTGACACTACCTAGGCTAGCAGCCAGGGAAGCTGCCCTCTGAGATCCAGACTGATTTCTCTGTGTCTGACAATCAATAATGTGTAGCATCTTTAGCAGTAAGCCTAGTTTTACTGTCTCATTCTGGTAGGCAACAAAGAACAGTGGCAACTGCTGATGTTGTTTTGGAGAAAATTTTGGGACCTCTCTGGGCAACGACTCAGAGGAGATGTCCTATTCCCGACACTGATATTTCTGTCTAGAGACCCATGACTTCTGGGAGCGGCATTACTCACTCGTGCAGGGTTTCTTCACTCCTAGCTTTTTTTTAAAAAAAAAATGGGGGTTTTTAGTTAGCTTATAAAGAAGTGGGTTTTTGTATGGATTTTTTTCATATATCTTTTGTTTTTGTTATACACCCCCTCCCCCATTCCTGACTAAACCTTTTCACACATCATATCTCCCCCTCGTCAACTTTCATATTCTATATATTTTACTGTCTCCTGTGTCTTGACCTTTACAGACACTTTACAACACAGACATACAACTCTCAGAAGTCTAAGCTGGGGTCCTCACATGAGAGAAAACATGGAAGTCTGTCTTTCTAGGTCTCAGTCACTTCACTCAATAGAATGTTTTCCAGTTCCATGCATTTTTCCATTTTCCTGTACATTTCATAATTCTGGTTTTTAACATTTGATAAAATACTATAGTATAAATCAGTGTTTCTCAATCTCTGGGTCAAACTCCCTTTTTCACAGGGGTCACGTAAGACCATCAGAAAACACAGATGTTTACATTGATTCTTTGGGGGCGGGTGTTTGTTTTTGACAAGGTTTCTCTGTGTAGCCCTGGCTGTCCTTGAACTTACTCTGTAGACCAGGCTGGTCAGAAACTCAGAGATCCTCCAATCTCTGCCTCCCGAGTGCTGGGATTAAAGACATGCACCACCACTGTCCACCTACATTATGATTCATAACAGCAAAATTACAGTTATGAAGTAGCAAAGAAAATAATTTTATGGTTGGAGGTGACCAAAACATGGAGAGCTGTATTAAAGGGCCACAGCACTAGGAGTGTTGACAACCACTGGGCTAAGTGGACTGTATTTTCATCCACCCATCAGTTGATAGATAACCAGGCTGTCCATTTCCTGGCTATTATGAAAAGAGCAGTGATGAACACGATTGCTTCCTGAACTTCTGTTTCCATTATCTCACTACTGTTCATGACACACTTCCAAAGGGATGTCCTCTCTTTTGGTCATGAAAAGCTGAGGCATAAGGACACCGAGGAAATGTGCATGAGCATAGGCCTGGTGAGTGGAAAAGCTGAATTTGAGCCGGGCTGCTTTCTCCTCAATGCCTCACCTTCTGTCCTTTGATTTACATAGATGCTTTCCTTCCTTCCTTGGAAGTGGAATCCTATGCACTGTGTTCAGGCTCCTTGAAGTTACAGCAGGCTGTGGGGGATGGGCTGCTGGTGTACAAATACTGTCTCAGTAGGTGATTTTGCAATGTGTGGAGGAGACCTGTGGAATACACGTATATAACTTCCTTGAAAAATGACCCTGGGGAATGACTGTTAGTGCCTCAGCACCATTTTCAAGAGGTTTATCCTATCCAGCCTGTGACACATAGGTAGTAGTTCTCAGTTTCAACTGAACTTCTTAACTAACAACTTCTCATTTCAATTCTGAAATTTTTAGACAAATATTCCGTGTTTTGGACCTCATGAGACTGGACATGACGAATTTTGTCATTAGGAATATTAGACCTTACATTCAGCGTGATTTGGTGGAGTATGAGAGAAACAAATTTCAGGAAATTTTGGAAGAAACTCCAAGTATGTATAATACAGTGTGTGCTTATGTCAAAATTGGGTCAAAATATGGCACTGTAACTTTTGCCTGTTTGTGTTGTGTTAATGTTAAAATGTTTTAAGCCTCTTAAAAGTTGAAATCACAGACTTATGGTTATTTTTGTTTAGTCCCAGGAGCTGTGCTGAGCACCTTTTAATTTTTCCATTTACTTATTCCATAAAGGTTTATTGAGCATCTGCTGTATCTTATTGGGAAGGTGCTGTGGTATGACAATAGACAAAACAGTATGAAGTTGTACTCTCCAAGGAGCTGACATTCTAGTAGGCATAACAAACAAGCGTAGACTATCACATGGATTATTCGGGAACAAACAGTGGAAGGACAGGAATGAGGGTGGAGGCCATCTGTAGGAGGAATGAGGCAAGGCTTCTTTAGTAAGTAACATTTGAGCAGAGTTTGCTAAGAACTCTGGGAAAATGCTAGGTGGTAGTGGTGCACGCCTTTAATCCCAGCACTCAGGAAGCAGAGCCAAGCGGATCTCTGTGAGTTTGCGGCCAGCCTGGTCTATAGAGTGAGATCCAGGACAGGCACCAAAACTACAGAGAAGCCCTGTCTCGAAGAAACAACAACAACAAAACAACTCTGGAAGAGCACGCACAGGTGTGAAGGAAAGGGGGCTCAAGGACAGCCCTGAAGAGACATTGGCTTTGGTTTGACATGGCCAAGGTAGATGTGCCTGAGGGAAATCGGCAAGGAAGAATGGGGCCGTTGGTGGAGAGGGAAACAAAGGCAGATCGTGTGATAAGATTTAGAGCAGTCCAGTTTTAATGAAGAGTCTTGAGCAGGGAAGCAGCGTGTGGTTGTTACTTTCATGGATATAAACATCAGCATGTTTATAATATATAAAGCGATAGAAGTAGAGAGTTAACACTTAAAAAGTGTTTAGCACATTCTAACTAATTTGCTTACATAACTAATTTAACATTACAAATATATGAAATTGCCTCCTGTAGCTGGAGAGTTTTCTATCCGGGTCCTGCCAAACTCCGGCAGTCCGACAGCCCACTTATAAAATAAACACACAGATGCTTATATTATTTAAACTGTTTGGCCTAATGGCTCAGGCTTCTTGTTAACTGTTCTTAAATCTTAAATTAACCCATTTCTATAAATCTATACCTTGCCACGTGACTCGTGGCTTACCAGCATCTTCACATGCTGCTTGTCATGGCGAAGGCTGGCAGTGTCTCTCTCCTCAGCCTTCCACTTCCCAGAATTCTCCTCTCTTTGTCCCGCCTATACTTTCTGCCTGGCTACTGGCCAATCAGTATTTTATTTATACAGAGTGATATCCACAGCAGCCTCCCACTTTATAAATGGGGAAACTGAGGCATAGAAAGGTTAAGTCATTTGCTTCTATATCACAGCTTATAAAGTATGCAGCTAGACTCACCCAGGCAGACTCACACAGTCCGTGCACTTATTCTTACTGAATGGGATAAGACAGCCTTAGGGAGTAAGTTGGCTGCTGAGGGGATGGCCTGGGACAGTTTAGCATCTAGAGGTGACATCGGGAGCATCAACAATGGAGACTTGAGGGTAGCCAGGGAAGTAGGGTTCCTACAGTGTGGTTAGGGGAAACATGAGTGGATGTGACAGAACCTTCTAAGTGATCAAGAGGGATGAAGCCAAGACTTGACCACTGGATTTGACTAGCGAGGATTATTGATAACAGTGATGGGAGCAGTTTTAGTAGGTTTAATGACTGCAGAGGGGGCAGAGAAGGATGGAATCAAGTGAACACTCCCTCCATCAATCAAGTGTCCAATGAGCTGGGTCCTGGTACCCTTCACTTTTCCAGTGGAGAGCTTGAGGTGCCATGGCAGCTAGCAGGTAGCAGCTAGCAGGTGGCTGTGTTGATTGGGACTTTATTAGCTGTGGTCTGAGCCTACCTCCCCTCTGGCCCACCTTTAACAGACTGAGCTTTTCCATCACAATGATAACACAGTAGCACTATGTAAACTGGGCACAATGGACGCTGCTTTTAAATGGGCCCCTACGCACTGGAGCACACCCAGGGGAGCACATAGATTGTGGAAGCCACGTGAGGAATGGTCATAAATTTAGGTATGTTCTGCTGGGTAACAAGCTCATAACACCACATTCTCCTTTGAGAGCAATTTAGAGACCTTTCTTAAGCTCTGTGGGGCAAATTAAGATCTTTACAAGGAAATAGTAGACGGGTGGTTAGATCTTCTGATAGTTGGACCTGTGTGAATTTTGGGACAGACCTCTCTCTATTGCTGGTGGTGACGCTGTGACCTTTGTCAAACTCATTCCTTGATTGGTTCATTCAGGTCTCCCTGAAATCCAGAGGTTGGCGGTGTCATTGCCCTCTATTTACATATGGGGAAACTGAGGCTAAGTTACAGGCCCTGATGAGGTCAGTAGCTGGAGAGCCTGGCCACTCAGATGTTCTCTGCCTTAGAGCATGTGCCAATTTTTTTTTCTTTTCTGTCAGTTTTTTGGGACATGGTTTCTCTGTGTAGCCCTAGCTGTCCTTGAACTCACTCTAGACCAGGCTGGCCTCGAACTCAGAGATCCCCCTGCCTCTGCCTCCAGAGTGCTAGGATTAGAGGTGTGTGCCACCATGCCCAGCAAGCATGTGCCTTTTAACACTTGGAGCCCTGCTTCTCCTAGAACAAGATACTGACTCTCAGTGGCACACATTGCAAAGGGTTCTATGATGTTACCTGGTGGGTGGGACTAGATGATTGTGGTAATATATTGTGTACTCTAGTAAATTACCTGAGGATCAGAGGACAGAGCCAGCCACTAGATTAGACATAAAGGCCAGACAGTGGTGGCACACACCCTTAATCCCACCACTCGGAGGTGGAGAGCATCTGGATCTCTGTGAGTTCAAGGCCACACTGGAAACAGAGCCAGGCAGTGGTGGCACACACCTTTAATCCCAGAAAGTGACATGCTGGGCAGAGAAAGGTATATAAGGTGTGAGGCGATAGGAAAAAGTTCAGTTCAGCTGAGACCCTTTAGGGTAAAGACTCAGAGGATTTCAGTCAGAGGATTCGTGGAGCAGGTGAGGTAATAGGTAGTGACTGTGGCCTGTTCTGCTTCTCTGATCTGTCAGTTTTCACCCTGATATCTGGCTCCAGGTTTTTTATTATAATACCGTTTAATATTCGAACAGCAGATGATCACTAGAGACTCTTTAGTAATAAAGTTCTGTGACTTCAAGGATTCTATTTTAGCTCCAATGGGAAAGGGGTTGGGGGCAGGGGAAGTCCTTTAATCTGAAGCCTGAACTTGACTGTGTTCTCAGCACGGGCTTCCTGGGACTCAGTGGGATCATGTGTACCTGTGTGTGTGAATATACGCATTTAAATGCAGTCAGGCCTTCAATCCAGGCAGCTGCAAATCTTGGGCAAACTCCTTCATACATAGTTGAATCTAGCTTTGTTTATCTCAAATTATTTGCTTATTTTTCACCTTTCATGTTGACTTGGCTCTTTCCCACAGACTTAAGAATACAGCAAAGTCAGCTATGCTTAGAGTTCATTTTTGCCTAGCTAGAGAAATCAAGAGTACAGGAAACAGAGTATAGGTCAGTTGTTAATTATATCCCTAGTCACTCTGCCAAAAATTGGTCCCTGCCCTAATATCAAAATAAGTCTTAAAAAAAAAACCCAAACCATTAAGATCTGGGTGTTGATAGCACAAGCCTTGAATCCCAGCACGAAAGACAGCAACCAAAACAACAGACAAACACTGAAACAGAAGGAGGAGGAGGAGGCGGCACTGGTGCTCTGCACTGACCTCAGAGAGTGGTGCCCAGTAAGGAGCAGTGCTGGTGGAAGCCGGCTCTCCCAAGTCCAAGTCCAAACTTATCTGCGACTCTTTCATCTCTTGCTTTGTGTTTTTGCCCTTTTGCGATATATTAGCTGGTTGTGTTACAAGCAACAGAAGCCAACTCTAGCCAGCACAGAAAAAACAAGTGAAGAGAAGGATGCGGAGTTCTCAGACTAGAAAGAGCAGCTAACATTCACAAGGACATATCAAGGAAAGCCAGACTGTGTTGGCAGACAGACAAGGGCCTAAACACTGGTAACATTGAGACCCCAAAAGGAGCCCAATGGGCATAGAGTTAGCTGAGCCAACCTCTCATTAGGGAGGCTGGGCCTCTTAATTGATAATTTTAAAAGAAGCCATGAAATAAGGGAACATGGCAGAACAAAAAGAATATATGTCATGGATAAGGAGACGTTTTTCTAAAGGAAAGTTGGAGTGACTAAAGGTCACTGTATGACACTGCATGTTCTTGTGTTTCTGCCTCCTAAGAGCTTGGGCCGTGTTTACTCATCTGTGACTCCCCAGCACTTGGTACAGTACCCATCACATAGAAGGTCATCAGTAGCTGGATGGTGGTGGCGCACACCTTTAATCCCAGCACTCAGGAGGCAGAGGCAGGCGGATCTCTGTGAGTTCGAGGCCAGCCTGGTCTACATGGCAAGTTCTAGCCACCCAGGGCTGCACAGAGAAACCCTGTCTTGCATAACCAAAAAAAAAGAAAAAAAAGAACCCCCCCACACAAACAGGTCACCAGTGGTTACTATTGAATATATGAGCAAATGGAGACACTCTTACTAGTTTCCCCCAGACTTAGGAAGGTTACAGGGTACCTCACCTGTTGACCTTACTTTTGGGGCCACATGAAGCAGTCAGTGTACCATTTTGGGGAGTGAAATCTCAGCATACAGCTGAGAGAAATGCTGGTGTTGCACTGTAAAGCCTTCTGCTTTCCTGATTCTCTGCAGTTCTGAATGTGTGCTCACATGACCTGTGGTCCTTGAACACCCTACCTTAGACTGACGAAGTCACCAACTCCAGGAGCTGGGGGCTGTGCTCAGGATGGTTGTTTTTAAAGTCCCTGGATGATTCTAAAGGCAGCTGGAGTTGGGATCCACCAAGCCACACTGTTGCTTTAGTTGGTGATAACTAACTG